TAACGTTTCACTCCTCTCTACACACCTCTCTCCACTCGCTCACTCTACAAGCTCTACTCTCTTTTCTACACTCTACACTCTTTTCTACACTCGCTTCTATTTTTACTAAACTCTCCATTCTGCGCTCTCCACTTGCTGCTCGCTATTTGCGTTTCATAATTAAAATTCCTGCTATTTTTTACGCTCGTCTTGGCAATTTCACTTTTGCTGGTCCTAGCTCAACTCATATTCGGTCAATAGACCGCGGGGCATGGCTATGCAAACTTCCCAAATTTAACGCTCTGCACAATGCTGCGCAATTCTGTTGTTTTGTTTCGCTTTTTTTCCACACTCTCTCTCCCTCTCTCACTCTGCCTCTCTGCTCACCGCAGTAACAACAAGCAGCAGAATAATTACAACTAGCGAATCCTCGGGCAGAAGCTAGCCAGCTGAGTTGGATTGGACTGGCGTGGCGTGGCGTGGCGTGGCGTGGCCAGGGCCTGAGCTTAAGCAAACAGGAAACGCATAATGAACACGCTGCACAGGCGGTCTGGCAACGCCGTCAGCGGCACACTGACTCACTCCGGCTCTTGACAATGGTTACGGCAAATGCGCTGACTCCGATTGCAACTCGCCGGCTTCGTCGACTTCCACTGGCTTTCATTCATTTTTGAGCGGTTTCGTGGTTAACAAGCGCTTCCTTATCCTTATTATTTTAATGCCTGCGGCTGCATTTCATCTTACTTACTTTTTACCCTCCAACCGTAACAATTTTTATGCCATGGCATTTTCCCAGGCATTTTCCCCGGCTCGGTTGCTTAAATATTTTAACTACCGCACGTATTCGCTAGCTAGTTGCGATGTCTGTCTGTCTCACTGTCTGCCCGGCTGGCTGGCTGGTTGTCTGGCTGTCTCTGCTTGAGTCTGTCTGTCTCCACTGTTTGGGCTTTGTGCGCATAATTGGGGTTAACTACGGCCAGGTGTGGCAGCCCCAACCGCCAGCCAGTTCCGTACCCAGTTCCGGCGTCCAGGAAGCGGAGGAAGCGCCTGGCACGCCGCCGACCATTGTGTCGAAGTGTGCTAAAAAGGAAAAGTAAAATTTTTGCCGCACTTATAAATTGTCGGACTGCAGTTATTACATTTTTCCATTTTCCATTTTTATTTTCTCTGCTTCTTAGCAGCTCGCTCGATGCAATTAAGAGGAATTGAAAGTGAAATTTTTGAGTGAAAAGTCATAGCATTTGATTATTTACTTTGGCTTAACTAAAACATTTTCCTCACTCAACCAGAAATGGAAAACAAAAAATTGTTAATTTAAAAGTCAGCAAAAGTTGACACGCAAAATTGTGAAATTCAATTTGGGAAAACATTTTTTTTCCTGTTTGTTTTATTTGAGTTGGCAACACTCACTGGTTGTGTGCGTGTGGGCGTGGCAGCGGTCGTGTTGACGCACGGCACACTCACACACGCACACACACACACGTGGCCATCTCTCGCTCATCTCACGGCGGGTCTCTCCGGCATTCCGTATGCCCGCTCCAGTTGGCACTCTCATCATCAATTCAGTTGATAATTATTTTTACGCGACGCAGCGAGTGCATTAAAAATGCAAATGGCAACACTTTGCCACTTTGATGGCAGCGCGGCCGCCAGTGTTGTCACGTTGCTGTTTTATTAATTTATTAAATTAAAAAAACAAAGCGCAAAAGGCGCAACGACAGAGCATTCGCATTCGCATCTGTAATTGTAAATTTATGAGGAAACCAAAAAAAAAAAAAAAAAAAAAAAAAGAAAAACAAGAGGAAAACAAGAAAAAATAAATAAATAAATACAAAAAAAAAAAGGAAAACAGCAAACAGAAAGCGGCGCAGGCAAAGCAGGAGCAGGAGCAGGGAAAGGAGAAAGGAGAAAGAGTTCTGCTTCAGCTGGGCGCACTGTCAATCGTGTCCCATGAATTATTAATTATTTGATTTTTCACACACACACACAGACAGAGCGAGCGGGAGAGAGAGAACGACACACGCTCGGCTGCCAACACTCGACTGGCCAGTGTTGCATTGCGGCAAACGTTGTCAGCCGCTCGCTCTGACAGCCGCATGCAACACTGTCACTCAAATTTGACGTCGAGTGAGTGGCAAATAATAAGCAAGCGCCAGGCGGCACGGCTCATTTGCGCGCCGTGGCAAGCGAGGCTCTAATCAAATTATTAACCGAAATGCGCCGAGCGTGGCTAACGAGCCTGATTGCTAATAAAAGCAAAATTAGCTTAATCTAATTACCTGTCATGCATTATTGCTGCCGTTGCGTAACGAAATTCTAAAAACTTGCCTTCAAATAACTCAGCTGCGCGGATGCTGCCTTTTAGCAGGCTGCTGTAAAGAAACACACACACACACATATATATATATATATATATATGTGTGTGCGTCTGGGCGTAGGTAGAGTCGACTGGACCGTTGCAACCCTGCGGCCCACGCTATGCAGAGGGTGATGGTGGTGCTGGCCCCTTGGCTGATGATTATTATTGTGCGTGGTGCCCTGGGGACGATGCCCTGTCTGACTGCCTGGGCTGCTGCCCTGCTCCTGCTCCTGCTCTGCCTCCTGTTCCTGCTCTGCCTCCTGCTTCTGCTCTGCCTGCCTGGCCTGCACATATTTTGCCATTTCGCTCTGTGAATTATTCAGAGCTCAATCGATAAGGCCGATTGCTGCTAAAACCAATGGCATCTTCTTTAGACCGGCTGCCCCTGGCTGGCGCAGTTGCTGACAGTTTATTTGGCAAATTGCTTGCATGTAATATGAAACTTTTTCCGCTCGCTCTTCCCCTCTCTCCCTCTCTCTCTTTATACTGGCTAATTTTTAGTTTGCCAATGACTCACGGGCAAAAAACCCGAATGGAAAAGGAGGCAAAAAAGTGTGTGCTAAATCGAAAATCTGAAACACGCGTCACGCATTGCCGGCCGCGTGGAACGAGGAGCCGAGGGATCAAATCCCAAAAATCATACCACACTAATATGCCATGACTATGACTCAGAGATTTCGTTACCTCTGAGCTGCTCCGGGCTACTCCTGACTGCTCCTTGCTGCTCCTTGCTGCTGGCTTATCTGCAGCGTTCAAATCGGTTTTTGTTCGCCTGCAAGTCCTGCAGTCAACCACCCCTTTGCTGCCAGCCTCCCCGTTTCCTGCCCGGCTCTCTCTCGTGCTCTCTTTCTACGTGTCATCTGTCCGGGTTGAGCATAATTCAAAAATTTTAAATTCGAAAATCTCTTGGCACACAACATTTTTGTTGCATTATAAATCTAATTAGAATATGTGCGCACCGCAGCAGCAGCAGCAGCAGCAGCACTCTCTCTCTCACTCTCTCCACCTAGCCAGATTGCCCAGCAATCCCTTCTCACTCCTGGCCCTCATTTCATATGCTCAGCGCATCTGGCCGCATCCGCAACTGAAAATTGCCAATGGCGGCGCCTGTGCGTCTGGGCAATAAATTTGATTTGTTTCAAATTACAGCCAAAAAGCAATGAACAATTTTTATTTTGGCTTTATTTTTGGTGATTCGTTTTTTTTTTTTTTTTTCTGTTAGCCCGGGCCTCTCTCGTTCTGTTGGCTGCATTTTGTTAAGCCGCCAAATCGAATCTTACTTGCGGTTACTCTCTGCCGGCAATTTTCATAATTTACATAAGCAAATCAAATTGTAAATGGAATTTGTACTGTGGAAGGGGCAGGGCGGAGGCGGAGGCAGAGCTCTTGCTGAAGCTGACGCCCGCTCCATTATGTCACCAGCAAAACCAGCTGAAAATGAAATGAAAATGCAAAAGAAAAAAGAGAGAGATATGAAAATGGAACTATGTTGAGTGTCTGACGTAGATTTGCTCGCATTTTTATCATCCTTGCCACAAATTGTGTCAGCTTCTTTCTTACTTTGTAGCTGCGTGCTTTGTGCGTCTTTTGTTGTCGATGCGTCAAAGAATTCGGCTCAAGTGACGCCTTTATATTTGCGAGTCCTGAATGGGGGGAGTGGCTTGGCTTGGTGGTGGGGGGAGTGTACATCGAGCATGCAGACATGAATATGTTGTGCTCCAGTCTGTATAATACGAAGCAGTGGCATGTCAATGCTCACAATTGCGGCGACAATTTGCCTCACGATTTGAGTTCCCAATGAAACATATTTGAGTAATACGATGACGCGATGTGCGGCCATATTTCATATGTAATTTTTTGACACAACTACAATGTGAGGGGGAGTAGCCATATGTATGTGTCTTGTTTCTAATGCTAGAGCATGTCTTATTTTATATATTTAATCATTTATATATTTCTATAAGTGTTGGTTATATAATAAAAACTTTTATTATATTCTACCAATCGAACTGATTACCTTGAGATCTTGAGCACTGTGAAGTTGTAGTATGTGGGAATATTAGCAATGTCAATTCATATTCTAATGGTAAATTTTTTAAATTTTATATAATTATATATATAAATTTTAAGAATTATATTTAAGTCTAAATAATATACCACAAGAATATAAAATATGTATACATGCCATGACATTGCATATAACCTCTAGAATATATAATATGTAAGACAATATTACATATAAAATTGTATATAACTCCATTTACATCCAAATGGAGATTTTGGTCTCTTTACCTTTCGTATTTAAAGAGCCTAAAGGGTTTTATGCTTAAAATATATGTATATATACCATCACATATTTTAGATGTGTCTTAGCCTTAAGTCTTCTTGGCATATCTTTATAAAAGATTAAAAAAAAATATATAAAAAAATATATATATATATATAAGACTTTAAGTACAATTTTTATAATAATAAGAATATTATATTTATAATGCTGAAAACCACCTTAAAAGTGAATCTACATTAAATCGAATACTTACATATACACACACAATATATAACCATACTTTTACATGTATATGTAAGTTTTAATTGCATACATACATGTCTTATGCCATCTCTATGTAAAAAGTATTAAGTATTATTATAAAACTTTACTTACCAACAAAATATTCGTGTTAATATTTGCTCTCGTTTCTTGGCAACTGAAGACGGCTTCAATTGAGCTGGCCAATCAGATAAGAGAAGCTGAAATGAATTTATTTTCAAATTCGATTGCCAGTTGAAGTCCTAGTATTTATTTTCATTTGTTTTACAACACTGTTATTTCTTGCTTTTTTTTGTTTTTTTTTGTTTGTTTGTTGAAGTGCGCTGGAAGTGTCAACAAATGTCAAACGTATGACAATTAACTTTCTACGGTTGTGTAAATCGCATAAAAATTTTGTGAAATTGTGAAAAAATAGTTGAATAATAAACATCGTAAGACAAGGCTTGAACAAACGAAAGCGAACAATAAATGTGACGATGAATTTATTGAAAGAAAACACAACACACTCGGTTTGAGGAGCATTTCATTTCATTTTCGTTTTTCGTGTGATTTGTGAAACACGCACTAACACAGACAGTTCAAGAACACACACTCACACACTTACGCCGATTAACGTACAGGCAGCTAGAGAGAGAGAGAGAGAGACAGACAGTTACAGAGAGCCAGAAATAGAGTGAGTGAGCGAGCTAGAAAGAGTTGACAGGGCTACAGCTTTTGGGACTGCTGGAAAGGCGTGTCGATTGCTGTCAAATATTTGCTCATTTTGAGGCACATAGAGAACACACAAGTCTAGAGCAATTTGGTTAAGCACACGCCCGCGCATTAGATTCTATAGGATTTTTAGAAAATTCTGCATTTGCGTGAACATTGAACTATATGTCGTTTAATTTGTAATTGCGCCGCACTGGTAGCAATGTCAACTGCGCTGGCAGCGGCGGCAAGTGCAACCGGCACGTCCACAACAGCGCCGCCAGCAGCGACCACAACAGCCACGTCATCGACAACAACAACAGCAGCAGCAACAGCAGCATCGGCAGCATCGGCAGCAACAGCAGCAACAGCAGCAACAACGGTAACGGTAACGGCAACGGCGGCGGCAGCTGCCACAGCAGCAGCAGCAGCAGCGGCAGCTACTGCGGCGGCCGCAGCGGCAGCAGCCGCCACAGCAGCTGCGGCAAACACCAAACCCATGTTGCTGGAGCCCTTGCCGCACTTTGTGGAGCAATCTACGACGAAAACAACCTATGCAGATTTTGAGGCCAGCACTAATAATGTAAGTCCATTGCCCACTGACGAAGCCTGCCCAATACTACCAACCATGTACCAACAGCAGTATCATCAGCAGCCATCCCAGGACCAGCAGGAGCAACACCATCATCATCATCATCAGCAGCAGCAGCAGCAGCAGCAGCATCATCATCATCATCATCACCAGCAGCAGGCGTTGAGTGCGGAAACAGACTCGGAAGCTGGATCGGAGTTTCAATCGGATTACCTTGATCCAAATGAGTTTCCGCTGCCCGGCACCAGGCGAAAGAAAAAGGTGCACAAGACGCTAACACAAACGTATCCGCGTCCTCCTGGCGGCTACAAATACTCGATGGGCTTCCTCTATAGCATTGGCAGCCATATGGCTGGGGTAACACTCGATATACCCACGCCCACATCCATCACGCCGCGGACACTGCGCACCTCGCCGCCGACGCCGCCCACGCAGCTGCCCCTCCTGCCCGCCGTGCCGATGGTGCCACGATCGGGCACCAATTCGCCGAGTACGGGCTTTAGCGCCGCTGCGGCGGCGGCAGCGGCAGCAGCAGCAGCGGCCGCAGCTTCGCCGACTTCAGCCAATGCGAGCCTGTCGCCGCCCCAATTCATTTGCCCGGGCTACAGTGGTCCCCAGCGACGTTTGTGGCATGCCGAGAATGCCGTTTGGCAGTTCGATCGCAATTATCCGTACAATCAGGGCTACGCCTCGCAATACGGCATACCGATGATGCCGCTGGGCTTCGAGCAGCATCCGTACGGACCGCAGCGTTTCATGTTTCCAGGCTATTATAATCAGACGGCAATGCCGCGCGGCGGCTATCGCCATGTCTCATCGAATCTGTCCACCGTCGCCGAGCAGCCTTCGGCCAATGCAGAGCCACATCAGCAGCAGCAGCAGCAGCAGCAGCAGCAACAACAACAGCAGCAGCAACAGCAACAACAGCAGCAACAACAACAGCAGCAGCAGCAGCAGCAGCAACAGCCGCAGCCGCAGCCGGAGGCGGCAGCAGTGCCGGATGGTTTCAATGGCGGCTTTCCGCCAGTGGATCGATTCGGCCGTCCGACTGCACCGCCGCCACGCGAACGCTTCGGCCCTGGCCGCCATGCGAATGGCCCGATGCCATTTGCCCGTGAGTCCAAGACTTTCTACAATAGCAATGGCAACGTAACTATGGGCGCACCGGGCACACGCATACGCCATCCGTTTGATCCGCGCTCAGGGCTGCAGCGCGGATCCCAGCAGCAACAACAGCAGCAGCAGCAGCAGCAACAACAACAGCAGCAGCAGCAGCAGCAGCACGCTGCCGTCTCCTTGCACAATGGACAAAATACCGCTGCCCTGGAACCGAACAACATGAACCGGCGCGGCGGCTATCAGGCGAGCGGCAACTACCACGCCACATCGGGCCGCCATCTGAAGCGCTCGAAGAGCCAATCGATAACCGCGCGCAGCTCGCACTCCTCGGACTCGGTGTCGCCGTCGTCGTCAAAGACGCAGTTCGAGCAACGCGTGGAGGCGGCTTCGACTGTGTCGCTGGCCTCGTACAATCACCAGCAGCGCAGCTATCGCAATCGGGCGCGCTATATGACCGCCAATGTGGGCATGGAGCTCGTTGGGCAGCAGCGAGGCCAGCAGCAGCCGGCTGCCAATTATCAGCCGCCGATGCGGCGCATGCCAAAGTTCACGGAGATGCAGCGCCAGCATACGCGCTCGTATCAGTCGCGCCTAATGGAGCACGCCGGCTACCCGGTGGCCATGGCTCCATATCCGGAGGCGCAAATCGAGCTGGACGATCAGGACTCGCCGGGCATAAACGCTGCCAGCAGCGGCACCTCCGACGGTGACCATCACCATGAATCCGACTTTGAGCAGCGCAGCCCCGTCGATTATGGCGTTGTGGTCAATGCGGAGTTCTCATCGGATGCCGATCTGCAGCGCAACAACCAGACGAATGGCTCCAACTGTGGCGACTGCGACAGCCAGTCGTTCGTCAGCCTGGAGCCGAGCTCGTCCAGCGACAGCACGGAGAGCGAACAGAGCGACGCGTCGCTGGAGTCGATGGTGCGCAAGATAACCATCAGCTGCCTGGCTCTGGCCACCAGCGCTCAGATGCCCGACCTGAAGGGGCCGAATCTGATACCCTTTGGGGATATGCATCACTTGCGGGAGGCTGAGCGCCGGGGTCAGCATGGCGCACGGAATGGCTTCAAGTGCTCGTCGCACTGCTGCGGCGATATGCTGGTCGAGCCGAAGGCGACGCAGCTTATGCGTGCCAACGAAACGGATGAGGACAATTGCTCCGAGGCATCGGCCATATCCTCCACTAAGACCCTGCTGGCCGTCTCCACCAAGGGCAACATCATTAAGGTGGGCATTTCTCTAATTTACCTTGTTTCCATTCCCTTTATGGGACTGAGTTTTATTGCGTTCCCTTCGCCTAGGACGACATTCTGGATGACGACCAGCCGTTGACCATGCAGAATCGCTATTGGCACGAGTTCTTTGGCTATACGCCGGCCGATCGCTTTCTGACCCGCACCAAGATGGTGGAAATGAAACGTCCCCCACACTCGGTGCCCAGTCGCTCCAAATGGGATCCGTTGACGCTGGCCATTTGGCAGAAGTTCCGCGAGTCTCAGCAGACTCGCCACATATTCAAGACCAAAATGCGCCTCTGGCGCTTCATCTACAAGGTGACTATGGTGGGTATAGATCACTCAATAGAGAGTTGGTTCGGTGGTGGCCCCTGCTAATCGTGCTACTTCCATAGGCCGTCTATCCGCGCTATGGCGTCTACCTGGTGGGCTCGTCGATATCGTTCTTTGGCTCCAAGTGCTCCGACATGGACATCTGTATGCTGGCCTGCACCAATCACAACATCGATCCACGCATGGAGGCCGTCTACCACTTGCAGATCATGCGCGAAATGCTGAATGCCACCGAACAGTTTCAGGAGTTCAATTTGATTGAGGCGCGTGTGCCGATCCTGCGCTTCACGGACCGCCGCCACAAGGTGGAGGTGGACATCAATTTCAACAATTCGGTGGGCATACGGAACACACACTTGCTCTACTGCTATTCGCAGCTGGAGTGGCGCCTGCGTCCCATTGCGCTCACCATCAAGCAGTGGGCGCAGTATCACAACATCAACAATGCCAAGAACATGACCATCTCCAGCTACTCGCTCATGCTGATGGTCATACACTTTCTGCAGTCCGGCGTCAATCCGCCGGTGCTGCCCTGCCTGCACAAGCTATATCCGGAGAAGTTCAGCATTCTGCAGCCGACGGACTTTGGCTATGTGGACATGAACGAAGTGATGACCCCGTATCAGTCGGACAACCATCAGACGCTGGGCGAGCTGTTGCTCGATTTTCTGCACTATTACAGCCTCTTTGAGTACAGCAAGTTTGCGATTTCGATACGGGTGGGCGGCGTGCTGCCGGTGGAGACATGCCGCTCCTCGAAGGCGGCCAAAAACGATATACACCAGTGGAATGAGCTGTGCATCGAGGAGCCGTTCGATTTGACAAATACGGCTCGCTCGGTCTACGATCCGGATACGTTCGATCGGATTCGCGCCATCTTTTTGGCCTCGTACAGTCGTTTGGAGTCCACCCGTAATTTGAATTCCATATTCGAGGACTACGACGGCCCCACCATACAGATGGCACCGCTCACCGAAGAATCGGACTACGAGTCCGCCCTCAAGCAGCCGAGCGCCACATCGTCCAAATCGAACAGTGCCCAGCCATCGCCCAGGCACATGGTGGACAAGGCGACCACAGCTCTGTGGAGCGACATACGCAACAAGGTGGAGCAGTCCGAAATGGTATCCATTGTGGAGGAGCATGTCCTTAATTTGGCCAAAGAGGCCAAGCAAAAGAAAAACGCACGCGCCCCACAATAATTGCAAGAGAAAAGAAAAACTACGGCCACGCACCCAACATCAACAAGCAAAGAAAAAATGTATTAAAAAACAGTAACCAACCTGCCTTCTCTCAACGAAAAAAATCCCTCCGCAAAAAAAGAAGAAAAAAAAATCATTAAAAAATAAGAAGATAGGAAATACGCAGAAGAATAATCGAACCGTCCAAGAGTCGCCCTCACGCACCGGCTTCAGACCTGAGCAGCAATCATTAGTTGCGCGCTAATGCCAGACAGCTGTCCCATCCGAAAGTCTACAATTTTGATAGAAACGATCGTAGTTGCTTGTAGCTTGCACCGGAATAACACTTTTAAATTTTACGTTGGACACTTCACAATTTAAATTCTTGACATTCTTGAAAGATTCCTTCGCAAGCGATAGTCTCCCTGAAAAAAAAAATTAGCTTTTTCAACTCTAATCTTTCGTAAATGTGGTCGCAAAAAAAATCACTATTAGTACAAATACAAACAAAAAACAAAGAGCAAAAACATCCAAGAGCA